CACTGGACCTCGAGGGATCAAGAAAGGCCCAGTCAGCATCAAGAGGATCCAGAGAAGGCTGAGCCGGGGCCCAGGGAAAATCCGTCACGCCCTTGCTTCTGGAGGCATCCATGTGAGCCTTGCATCTCGGGGGCAGGGAGCTGGGAACCTCCTGGAAAGGACCCTATTCACCAAGTGTCTGACAGAAGTAACACGTGGCCGGACTTCAGTCTGCTCACCCTGTCCAGCGACTCACAGGGTCCATCTCTTCTGGGCCCCGGGGGCTGTGGTGATATAGTGGGAAAAGCCCCAGCACCCACACCTGGTAGACTGAACATTCAGAGTCTGGAGGTTTCATCCCAAGGCAAACAGTTGGTGGCAAATCTCAAGCTTTTACATGTGTTTAAAATAACTTGGAAAAAAAAAAACCCTCCTCTTTTATTAAAAAAAATTTGTTTATTATGGAAAAATGCAGGTATTGAAAAAGAATTAATCCAAAGGACGTTTGCTAAGCAGGGCCCAGCGGTCCTGCTGTTCTCAGTCCCCTATTGGGTGGCGCTGGTTTAACACGGAAGCACTGTGCCCACCTCTGGGGCCAACCCTGTCTGTTGGCACCCCAGCTCGGGTTCCCCTCCTGGGGGGTCTTCTACCACATCCCCCTCCCTAGCCCTTATCCCCCTCTTCCCAGCCCCAGCCCCCTGACCCCAGATGTCCATTCTGAAGGCTGCCCTGACTGCTCTCTGTGCCCCCTGTCTCCACTCCTTGGAACGTCTCACCAGCCCCTGCAAGGCTCCCCTGCTTCGGGGATGCCCTCTGATTCTTTCCCCTCACAGCAGCTGGAAGAACCTGCCCATTCCGGCTTCCATTCCTTCCTTGGCTCCTCGTTGCAGCAAGTGGAGCCCAGACGCCAAGAGCAAGGATTTAGGGCTTCCGTGGTATGGCTGTGACCCCCCTCTTCCTGTGCCCCAGGCCGAGCCTGTTACTCTCATCAGTAACTTCCTGGGCACTGGCAGGGTCGGCACTGGTGAGCCCCAGGGTTGGGCTGGGCTGTCACCAGCAGGCAGCAGAGGTCTGGCCTGGACCCCTGCTCCTCCCACCCCACCTTTTCTTCTTCCCCAGGCTTCCTGTCCCCAGCTCTTCCTTCAGTCCCCTCCTCAGGCCCAAGCCTCCTGGAATTGCAGACTCTCCAGGTCCTCCTTGTCATTGTCCCTAAGGGAAGGGGGAGAGCGGGGGGAATGCTGCTCAAGGTCACAGAGCAGGTCAGGGGCTGGGCCGCACGAGAACTCTTTCCACACTTCAGGGCCGGTGGCCTTGGAGGAGGGAGGTGGGAGCGCCCTCCTCTGGCTGCTTCTTGGAGGCAAATGGGCTGGGGCAGTGAGAGGGCCTGGCTGCCCTTTTGAGCTTCCCTTCTTCTGTACTTGGAGCATTTCAGACTCTGGCTCTTCCGCGTGTCTGCTTTGTCATGGAGTCCTGGTGCCTACCATTGGATCATTAATTCTGGGGTGGCGTGGGAGGTGGCAGAAGGGACCCAGCTCAGGAAAAAATGGGCTTGATAGGAAGACCATCAGCTGCCACCTGCTGGCTGGATTCAGGCTCCCAGCAAACTCTTCCTGTTCTTTGAATCTTGCCTTCATCTCTGTGACCTTGAAATCCCAGATTTCAATCCAGGGTGCCCCCACTGCCCTCCTCCCACTTGAGCCCCGCCCCTTTCCACTGCCCCATGTTTTCCTCACGAGGTGTGTTAACTCTGCTCATGCTAGCATCCCAAACCCAGGGACCCGTAGGTCTATGAAGAGGGTACTGGCAAGAGCAGTCTTAATCCAAAGGGGCTATCTACTAATGGGAAGTAGCTGGCAGTGTGACAACCAGGTGTAAAGGAGGGGCTCAGAGCCAGGAGCTTCTTAGGACTGCTCAGACCTGGCCCTGCTCACCTGCGCCGAGTAAGGCTGACCCATTGGTGTTTGTGACCGAATTAAAATCCCAAGGAAAGACAGGCTGCAGGTGGTTTCCAAATAGAAACACATGTGCACAGGGAACAAGGAGCTTCTGCCAGCATCCCAGACAGGGCCCTCTTCCCCTCCCTGCTCCATGCTCCCGCCGGGGAGGAAATCAATCTGGTAATGCTTCCTGTGGTCAGGGTAAGTGTCTGCTTCTGCTCTGGGCAGCCCCTGTGAGTGCGTGTGGCCCTTCCAGGCAGTAAGGCTGGGAAGCAGGGGCCTCGTGGTGGGGGTATTTTCACTATGACGCCATTTCCCAGAGTGAAGAAGCAGCCACATTCCACGTGGTCCATGGGCAACTCAGGATATTTTGCTTAGCACCAGGAGAGTCTAAAAATGCCTCAAGCCCGTCTCAGAATCTCGGGAATCTGGCTGGAAGAGAACCCAGGTGACAGCAAATCCCCAAACAACCACTTACCCCACACCGACCCCAACAGAAGGGGAAGCTCGTTCCAGCCTCCAGGGGTTCTGTGTCCCAGGAGGTGACACGATGCCCACAGATGGACTCCTGGCTGAGTCCCTCAAGGGCAGGCCTGGTTCCTTCCCATTTCTGGGTTCCTAGCACTCAGTACTGAGGAGATCCAGCTACTCAGCATGGGTAGGACTCTGCTGAAAACTCACGTAGGTGCCTGGGGTGAAGGACAAGGAGTTCTAGGCATGCCCAGGAGGGACCTCTCCATAGAAGAGAAGGATCTGGAGTTTAGCCTAAGATGTCCTCACCTGGAGCAAAGAAGGAGCAAGTAAGTGGTGGGCAACATGGTAATAGAAGCAGGTTCAAAGAGCCATAAAAGGGGCTCGATTTCCTACATTGTTACAATCACCAAAGCAACATGGTAGGCTAGGCAGTAGCAGCTGGCAGAGGGATCAGCATCACAGACCAGGCTTGGAATGTTCTCTAGTATATGAGAACTAAAGGACCTAAAGACAACCAACGAGGGACTGATGGGTTATTCAACAATGCTGCTGGGGAAATGGGCTCCTTGGGGGAAATGACATTTGACCCTGACCTTGGATAATTTGCTATGATTTTGGTAGTGATTAAAGAGCCGGCCAGCTGGGCTCAGAATTGGGGATTCAGCAGGACAGAGGCATACAGGAGACAGTTCTCCTTGTCCATTCATCTGCTCCCCTGGACCCGGCGAGGAGGATGTCTCTGTCAAGGTATAATGCGTCTTTCTCAGCATCCCAGCTGGGAGCAGGAGCTCTCAACAACCAGACTCTCTGGGACCTTAACATTTCTTTTTCAAGCCCAGGACTTGGTGTGTTGATCTAGAGCAAAAACTCTAGAGGTGTCTTTGTTCGAACTCGTCTTTGATCAAAGAACTTTCCTGCAACCAAACCCCACAAGATGCCGTTCTGCTGTTTCCCTTCTGACATATTCTGGTTTGCACTACTTGAATTGGACACTGGGTGCTCTGGGTGATTTGTCCCATTCTCTCAACTGCTGGCCTAAAGGAAACTGAAGTGTTAGACCAGGGAGGGACCCTAAAATTGTCTTAGTCCTCCATTTTATAGAAGGAGAAAGTGAGGGCCAGAGAAGAGTAGCGAGTTACTCAAGGTCACATAGCAGTCAGAGGCAGAACTGAGCCTGGACCACCCCTCCGGTCTCCGGGGTCCTGCCCAACGCTCCTCTGCCCACCCTTTGCCATTTCCTCTCCATCCCTCTTTTCTAAGACGGTCCTAGCTTTCCTCTGGCTCTGCTGAGCTTCCTGTGGTGTCCACCCTGCCACGTGCAGCCTGACCACTCTGCTCCACGACGACCATGTCTTGGTGAGAGAGGGAGTGTCTCCCGGTGGCCTGGCAGTCCCTGCCTGCCACCCCTTGCCTCATGATGGGCCCCTGCCCTCCCTCTCAGACCAGACTCTGCCCAGCACTGAGTCTGGTTGGGGTGGGAGGGGTGGGGGGTGGAAACTGGGAGCATGTGGTCCTCCAGCTCCGGGCTCAGAAAATCTACGTCCTTGTGTGCCTTCCCCATCATGCCAGCTGAGTCACCTTGAGCATGTCATTGGTCTGGAGCTGACTACTCTTCTTGAACATGGAAATAATATTAGAACATAGCATGTAGAGCTGCCGTGAAGATCAGAAGAGTCAAGTAGATGGAAACCTGGAAGCGTCATTCCAGCGTCAAACACCGGTGTCCCCAGACCCCGAGCCAGGGCTGGATACCGAGCAGATGCTCATCGAATAACTGAAGCACAGTGGTCCCCAACTGGGGGCGATTTTCATATCCTAGAGGATACTGGGTGACACCTGGAAACATTTTTATTTGTCACAGCTGGGGAGGGGCTGCTGTGGCGTCTGATCTGCTGAACGACGTACAGTGACAGGACAACCCCCTCAGCAAAGACTTATCTGGCCCCAAATGTCGGTGGTGTTGGTTCCGAAGCCTTGTTGTCAAAGCGTGAAGTGTGGCTTCCGTAGGTACAGACATGGTTTGTTGTTCTGGAAAGGTCAGAGTCGCAGCTGGGAGGCTGACCATCAGGATACCACAGTGACCAAGCGCCACAGCCACCGGGGTTAAATGAGAGTGTCACGCCCACAGGTGGGATAAGTTGAAAACATTTTATTTCAATTCTATCCTTGGGAGGCAGCATAAATAATCACAGAAGACCACAAAGGTCAATGGGGGAAGAACAAAAAGGTCCAGAAGTGTGAGGAGGGGATGAGAGCAGACACTGTCTAGCTGCAGGGGGCGGCGGGCCCGGAGACCCTGCTGTAGCTGGCCGAGAGGGTGGAGGGTTCTTGGAGGAAAAGCCTGAGGGCTGGGGCTTTCCCTGCCCAGGTGACCTGGAGGGGCTGAGGGCGCCCTAGCCTCTGTGGAGGGACGTTCTAGAGGGTGGCCACAGGAAAAGCAGGTGGGGGGTAAAATGCATCTAGTAGATCCTAGCTAATGAGAGAGGAGTGGACACCCATTTCTTGACCCCCAGGCCAGATCTCGCCCCTGGAACCGTGACTTTTCTGACAGCAGTGTTTACAGACTCTGTGGATAGTGGGAAACGACGGGAGCAAATAAGGAAACAAAAAAGAAAATGCGTAGAAGACCAGATGAAATATGGCATCTCAGAGAGTCCTGTGACCTTGGGCCACGTCTGTGTCCTCATCGGCAGCATGGAGAGAAGGCTCCCCACCTCTTGGAGCAGATGCGAGGCTTGAATGAGGTCCTACGGGTCAAAGAACCGTGTAAACTTTTAAAGTGCTATACGGACATAAGGGGCTGTGGTCCTTCTACGAGTGTAAGGCTGAAAGTGGCTGAGACAGAAGTGGCGAGGGACAGGTGCAGAGCGGCCCCTGAAGTGATCAGACCCCTTCCGCCCTGTCTTCCCCAGGGCCGAGCTCCCCCTTCTCAGCCCTGGCTTCCAGGGGGAAGGGGCCTCATCGGGAGGGAGTCCTCTGGGGAGGGAGAGCACAGGGCAGGGGCCAGGAGCACTGAGTGGGAAGGGCCTCAACTGGGCAGTGTGGCACATTGGCACTACTGGTGTTGGGCAGATGGTAGCAGTGGCTTCCAGTTCTCATTCTCCACAGAGACGTGGGCACAGAGGATGTCCCCATGCAACTGGCATCTTGATGCGGGGGGAAGGGCCCGGGCCCGGAGTCTGGACATGCTGGGTCCTGGTCCTGGGTTGACTGGTGACCTTCTGGGTGACTTAGTAAGTCACTTCCCCATTGCAACCCTCAGTTCTGTCCTTCGTAAAATGGGGACCCTATTCCCTACCCTGCCTACCTCACAAATTAAACGGGAAACGGGTGTTCCAAGAGCTTTGAAGAGAATCATGGGAAGGCAAGGGGTCATTATGGCCTTGGTGAGCAATCCTCTTAATTCCCTGAAGACAAGAGAGGGGGCAAGAGACAGAAAGGAGCTGGGCTGCTTGCAACCCTTGTCAGGTGAGCCAGGCTTGCGGGGCTGTCAGGGGAGGGAAGGGAGGTGGAGGGAGGGGAGGCAGAACAGCCCAGGCCTGTAATCCAGCCCTTACTGGGCCAAAGGCAAGGGTGCTGTGAGCCCCGGCAGGGAGAGCCGAGATGTCCCTGCAGTCCCTTGGCAGGGGAAAAGTTCAAGTTCTCTGTCTACTGGGGACCTGGCTTCGCCCTCTGCTCCCTGATCCATTGAGGGTCACCCCACAAGGAGTCCATGGTCTTCACCCTTCCAAGGGGCCTCTGAGGCTCCTGGGGTGGCGGGGAAAGGGGGGTTCTCCAGCGGTGGGTCTCCAGGAGAGGCTGGGGACTTTCCCAGCAGGAGGTCGAGAGGTCAAAGGGCAACTTCCAGTCCTCAAGGTGGCAGGTGGGCGTCCTCAGGCGGTCCCCAGCTCCAGTCCCGGCTCTGTCTCTGGGGGCGCTGGAGAAGGGGAAGTTAAGGGGCGTGTGGAAACCGCGGAGAGATCAGAGGTCAGCTTAGAAGGCAGCCCTGCCCGGGAGCTAACAGTTCTTGGGGCTGTTGCGCAAGTTTTTCAGCTCCAGCTGCAGCTGCCGAATGCGGATGTCCTTCTGGGCCAGCTCCTCTTTCAACCGCCGGATCTCATCCTGCTGCCGGAAGAACATTCGGAGGAGCTGGGGAGGACGGAGAGGGGCGGCGGCGGGAGGGAGAGAGCAGGTGAGAAGGCGATTTCGCGAGTGGGTGTCGCGACTGCCCTGCCCCCGCCCACTGCGGCCTCCGCCCTTGTCCCCCAGGGCCTCCCCCCCAGCTTTAGTGTCCCCAGAGGCTCTTGTCCCTGCAGCATGCCCTTCTCCAGACCCAGCTCACGGCTCCTTCTTCCCCTGGGAGCCCAACACCGCCCACTTTCCCAAATATCTCGAGCTCACCTTTTAAGGGTGCAAACATAATACTCTTATTTACTATTGTGAATGAGAACCTTTCTAAAATGCTTTGTATCCTTCTCTTCTTAAGGAAGCTCAGATACAGAATGGAAGCCAGGTTTTCGGCTGCGGGGGGTGTCTGTCACAGCCTCCAACGTGCGCACTGCGCAGGGATTCCCGGGAGGGTTGGGCATGGGCAAAGCAGAGGGATCGGACAGCCCTTCATTGGGACAAGTCCCTGGATTAACCATTCTCACCCCTTCCACCAGAAAACAGACTGCCAGATGCCTGCAAGACACTGAGCTCTGTAAGACAGCGGACCCCTTGAGGAACCCCAGCCTTGAACTAAATGTTCCTGATGCACACTTGTGGGGATCCTCACACTCCTGGGTGTGAACTGCACGTGTTCTTGTAATTGTATACTTAAGTGAGATAGGATAGACACTGATGAAATAGTTTGAAAATGTCCCCATGAAAACTAAGTTGCACGCATTAGATAAAGGGGATGCAAATGGAGTTGCTCCTGAGTTCGGTGCCCACCGTGTAAACATAAGAGATAGGGAGCAGTGTATATCTTGCTTGTCCCATAGTGGTGACCCGGCTGTATGTGCTTGTCAAAACCTACGGGACCGCACACTACAAAGGATGACTTTTACCAGCAGGAAATTATACCCCAATAAATCTGTCTTAAAGCAAGAAAAAACGGGGGTCAGCTCTGGAAAAAAAAAGGGGTGATTTATTTGTGAATAACATAGCAGGTTCCCAGCCAGGAATCTCCTCAAAGAGAAGTCTTGGTCCTGCATCAAAGTGGGATTTATGTATGTATGTATGTGTTTATTTTACTGTGTCAGTGTATGTGCTGTCAAAGTGAGCACTATTTACTTAATGCATCAAAGGAAAATTAATGGTTTGAAGAATATCTCTATCATTTTGATGATTGTTTAACTGACTTTTTTTTTTTAAGATTTTATTTATTTATCTGACAGAGAGAGATCACAAGTAGACAGAGAGGCAGGCAGAGAGAGAGAGAGAGGGAAGCAGGCTCCCTGCCGAGCAGAGAGCCCGACGCGGGACTCATTCTCAGGACCCTGAGATCATGACCCGAGCCGAAGGCAGCGGCTTAACCCACTGAGCCACCCAGGCGCCCCCCCCCTTTTTTTTTTTAACCAACAAATTGATACTGGTTACATCTTTTTGAAGGGATGATGTACTCTTTGCCCCTGCACTCAATGATCCCACACACTCCTGTGGCTTCCAAGTTCTGAAAATTCCTCTGCATAATCTTTTGGTCAGCTTTTGTTTAAAAAAGCAAAACAAAACAGTGTTATTGAGGTGTAATTCACATACCATACATTCCACTCATTTTAAGTGCTCAAGGAACTGATTTTTAGTAAGATTCAGAGTTGTATTAAGCCTCCTCCCCTGTATCAAGCCACCAGTTTATCTTCCCATGTAGACAATGTGTCCACCATTTACAGTCCAGTTTTCTAACTGGTTGCTCCCAATCCGCTAAGTTCTTCCCAAGAACAAAGTGCATAAGCTTTAGTGCAGACAGATTGTGACATCTATGTTGCCTGCCCAGAGACCCTTGAAAATTTCCCTCTGGATCTTTTCTGTTCATAGAAACAAGTTGTAGCAAAATGTTACTTGATTTCAGTGCTGCTTAACTCTGCTTTCCCCACACTGGGTACTAGAACAGAGCTCAGACTCTTGTTATGGCCCACCGGGGCTATCCCAGCAACTCAGGTACCTTCTACTTTCTCAGGTGATTAAAAAAATATTTTTTAAACGGAAAATGCCAAATAGATAATCGTAAATTGCTGTGATAAGAAACTTTTAAGATGGCCCCTGTGTTACCCCTCCCCTCAAGGGTGGGCTGGACTGGGTAACTTGCTTCAAATGAATAGAATACGGCAGAAGTGATGGGATGTCATTTCCAAGGTCAGGTTACAGAAAGACTGTGACTTCCATCTTGGACACCTTCTCTTGCTCACTCTGAGGGATGCCAGCTGCTATGTTGTGAGCTGTCCTACAGAGGGGTCCATACAGTAAGGACCTGAGGGAGGCCTCTGGCTGAAAGTCTGTGAGGAACCGAGACCCTCGGTCCAACAACCCATGAGAAAATGAGTCCTTTCAGCAGCCATGTGAGTGAACTTGGTAGCAGATCCTTCCCCAGATGAGCCTTCAGATGTGGCTGCAGCCCAGTTGCCAGTTTAACTACAAGGTCTCATAGAGACCTTGAACCACAGGCATCCATTCTGAGCTACTAGGAGATAATAGATGTTTGTGGGTTTAAGTCACTAAGTTTGAGGGTGATGTTTTACACAGCAAAAGATAACTAATACAGGAAGCCTCACTGGGCACTTCGTATGGGCCAGGAAGAGTGCTAGAGCTAGACCCTTAGGAAATTTCCTGTCTTATTCCTATGTGTTATTTCCTGTCCCCACTTCACCATGAGAAAGGTCAGAAAACTTGCTTGGGCCCAGCCGGGAGATGGCAGAGCCGATTCAGATGCAGATGGGTCCATGTAGCCTTCTCTACTTCAGCAGCATCAGGCCAAGATCCTGGCCCAGGGCATGCATCTGTGAACCCTGGCCTGAGCCAAACTCGGCCCCTGGTATTGGCACCGGGGTCTGGAGGTACGGTGCAAAGGAGACTTTGGGGGCCCTGGGTAAGACCCAGCCACAGCTGTCCCTGAATGAGCTGCCCCCATTCTACAGGGCGCAAAGTACTTTCATAAACACAGCCTCTCCCCCAACAAACAGGGAACTGTCAGACCCTGTCTTTGCCACAATGCCAGGGAGGAAGGCAGTGCTGAAAGGCATGAGGCCAGGCTTCCCTCTGTTAGTCAGCAGTTTAGAACTCCTGTAACAGCAAATGACAGCCCCTTTCTGGAATGAGACGAGGGACTGCGTGGGTTAGTGAGGGCTGGGGTGGGTGTGGGGCATCAATATCCCTGCGTATCCCAGCCTCTATTTATTGGGGTCAGAGGCAACGGAAGCCAATAGCAGGCTACTTATGGTATTTGTCACAGAAAGAAAAATGCGCCAGATGCAGCCGGCTTAAAGGCCTGAAGCCCATAATTGAAATGTAAAGGTCTCGCTCTTCCAGGACCCATGGAGGTAATAACTTATATTCCTTACCTCGTTCTCTGTCCTGGGCGGGACATTCTCTAATAAATCTATTCCATTGACCACAACGCTCTTCTTTTCTTTGATGGGAGCCTTAAATACCATTTTTGAGGACTTCTTATAGCCTTCCTTCAAAGACATCAGCACGGGATCTACGGAAGGCAAGGGAAACGTTCATGCTGACAATTTGGTGACTTGTCAAGGGATGGCATCTCTCATTCACACCATACCTGACAGCTGGCCTAGTGCGTGTATGGGGGGGTCAAGTAGGAGGCTACACAAGGGGGCGATGGGTGAACCAGACTGAAGGCAAAAGCTGCCATCTTGAAGCCTCTCCTGGGGAGCCCACCCCTGGCATACCTCGGTTGATGCCCCCCAGCCATTCATCGGGGGTCAGAGCTGGCTCCGTGCCTGGCGTCATGGGGTAAATGTCTTCCTGGTAGGAATCCGACTGCAGAGGGGGGAGCAGAAGAGAACCAAGAGAACCCCTGCTCTTCAGCAGCCCCTCCTTGCTGACCTGCCACCGTGGTCCTGCTGTCCTGCCCCCAAGCCTTAGCACTCAGGCTTGGAATCCCCATCCTGCATTCATCAGCAAGACAGACTGTCCCCACCCTAGAATGGTGCCCATCTGTTCCCCCGCCATCCCCAAAATTGGGCCTGAAGACCCCAGTCCATAGGACTTTCTTCTTCTGGTTTCCTCAGGTTTTAGTCTGTGGCAAGCCAGCAAGGACTCAATGTGGGGGTCCCTCCAAAGCCCAGCGCGGCCCCACTCACCCTCCGGGGCACGATCATGGAGATGGGCTCGATCAAGCCCTTGAGAGTCACCAGCTTGTAGAAGCGGAATACCTCGCAGGCCGACACGTCCAGCCCGTGCTTGGGCATGACCCCTGTGGACAGGTACATGCAGCTCCATGGGGTCCCGGGGAGCCCCCGCAGCGCCCCTCTTCCCTGAGCACTTAGGAGGCAATGACCTATGCACAGGGCAGCAGGGGGGCTAGGGGCTGGGCTCTGTCCTGGGTCTCAGAGAAGCCCCTCAGGCCAGACCCACCTCACCAAAGTGCTTTAGAATTGGGGTCTTTTGTACCAGGAAGGAGCTATTGCAATAGCTGAGTCTATTCCATTCTTTGGATAGATGGAGCTCCTGCTGGTCTAGGGGAAGGGGCTTGCCTCAGGTCACAGAGTGTGGCTAGGGGCAGGGCCATGGAGCCTGTCACCTTCTAAAATAAACGGGCTTCCCTAAGCCTCTGTGTTTCTGGTCCTCAGAGAGAACGAAGGAGAGAGAAACCTTCCCCCTTCGCCCTCGAGCCTGAGACTGCTGTTCCTTTGTACATCTGGGACTGACAGGGAGTGGGTGTGTGTATGTGCGTGCGTGTACTACCTATCCACGTGTGTGCACTAGCCACTGTTCGGAACAGTGGCGTCTACTGTATACCTACTGAGGAAACTGAGTGGTGTCAGGTTAGGAACGCAAGCTCTGGGGTCAGACACACCTGATTCTGAGTCCTGACTCTGCCCCTCCCACTGGCTGGGAGATCTGGGGCAAACCACTAGGCCTCTTTGAGCCTCAGGCTCCCTGGCTGGTTAGAGGTGGACAGTATGACTCTTCATGAGTCGGTCAGGAAACTGAGCGGGAAGACGCTCGTTGACTGCCTGGCATCATCATGAGCCCAGATAACGTTAGCTTCTTTTTCCAGGATGTGAACCTGAGTTAAGGTTCTGTCTTTCCTTGACTGGAATGGAAAGCTGCCCTTTCAGATAAAGGAATTCTAGGAGCTGAAGGGAAGCACTGTAAAGGTACCCAAGCAGGATTTAGAGCCAGCAGACCTGGCTTTGAATTCTGGCTCTGCCACTTAGGATTTATGTGACCTGCCTGGGGTGAGTTACTCAGCCACACTGAACGTATGACAAGTGCCTGGCCCTCGACAGATGCTCCACAGTGGCCAGAGGTGGGGGTGGGGGGAGGAGAAAGAGTTCTCCTTGGTTCCTCCCTCCCCCATCTCTCTTCCTCAAGTCTTGCTGACCCTACTTCCCAAACACCTGCATTCATCTCCCCAATCTTCCTGTTGCCTCTCCAGTTACCATCCTTTCTAGGCTAGAAGCTCCTAGGGGCCTCCAAACTGGTCTCTCAGCCTCCCTTCTGTCCTTTCCAAATCCGTTCTCCCTACAGAAGCCAGAGCAACCTTAGACTCACATTCCAGATCACATCATTCTGTCCTATCTCCCACCTGTCCACCTAAGACAAAGAAAACCCTCCAGCGCATTCCCAGGAAAACCCAACTCCTTCCCCTGTGTGATGATTAACTGTATGTGTCTGTGGGCTCAGGTCGCCCTCCCCAGGCCGGATGGCCATCATCCAATCCGCAGATGGTCTGAACAGAACACAGGCAGAGGAAGGAGAGAGTCACTCCTTTTTTTCCTGCCTCACTGTCTGAACTAGGACAGCTCATGTCATCTGCCCTTAGACTGAGATTCACACCATCAACTCCCCTGCTTCTCGGGTCTTTGGTCTTGAACTGAACGATACTACCAGCTTTCCTGGGTCTCCAGGAAGCCAGCAGATCATGGGACTTCTTTTTTTTTTTTAAGATTTTATTTATTTATTTGAGAGAGAGAGCATGAGCAGGAGGAGAAGCAGAGGGAGAGGGAGAAGCAGATTCCCTGCTGAGAGGATCCTGGGATCATGACCTGAGTCAGAGGCAGACACTTAACCAACTGAGCCATCCAGGCGCCCCAATCATGGGACTTCTCAGCCTTCATAATTGTGTGAACCAGTTCCTCATAAATCCATGTATATATATTTATATGTTTTATATATATTACGTATTATATATATTTCTGTTACTCTGGAGACCCCATCACGAATACATCCTTCTAATCCATCCCATGGCATCTGGTCCCTGCCCTCAGCTCCAGATTCATGTCCCATCTCTCTCCCCATCTTCTGCTATATTACAGAGCCTATACTTAGTCACACTGACCTCCATTCTGTTTCTAGAACATGCCAGGCTCATTCTTGCCACAGAGACTTTGCATTGACTGTTCTCCTGCTGGCCCTACTCTTCCCTCTTCCTGCCTTTCAGATCTCAGCTTAAAAGGCCATACCCACAGCCAGGCCTTCCCGGACCACCAGGTCCCAAATAGCCCTAGTCACTCTCTGTTCTATTGCCTTATTTGAATCTCTGCCTAGAATTTATGACCATCCAGAATTTTCCTTCTTTATTTGTTTATTGTTGTCTCCCTTTAGTGGAATATGAGCCCCATAAGAGAAAGGCTGGGTTCTGTATTATTTACCACTGTGTCTAATGGTGGCGACCTGGTAAGTGTTTGTTGAATGACTATGTGAAAGAGCAGGAGGAACAGATGCTCTGCCAGGTGCTATCCAAGCTTTACAACAGCCTTACCTAAAAGGCTGATTTTCCCTATTTTACAGATGGAGAAACTGAGCCTCAGAAGGGTGAGGTATACAGTTGAAAATCCGAATGTAAACTTAAGTCTGACTCCAAAGTCCAGGCTGCTTTTTATTCTACTCGATGAAGAGGTGACAGCGAGGAGGTGGAGATGACAGAGGTGGGGAAGGCTGAAGTCACTAGGACCTCAGGTATATCTCTGGGCCACCATCTTGCTGTCAGTCACTGAGGTGGATCCTTGGGCCCTTCCAGCACTGATGACCTGGAAGCTGGCTCTCAGGTCCTATCCATAACACCACATCCCCAGAGGGAACAAGCCAGACGTGGGCTCCACGTGAGATGTGAGATGTGAGGAACATCTCACCCTTGACCTCACTCACTCACTCACGACGTTCCATCAATCCCGGGCCCTCTGGGGAGACTGGGGGTTGCAGTGATGGGGACCCATAGCCAAATGTCCAGTCTCTCGTTCTACGGTATCATAGCCTGGGAAACCTCTGGACCCCTCCTTACCTAGGCCTTTCTGCGGGGCTGGGGAGCGGAACTCCATGAGGTAACTCAAGAAGGGCTTCTCAGTGCTGATCTCGTAGTACCGGATGTTTCCGTCTCCCTGGGGGGAAGGGGAGAGGGAAGGAGGTGAGGAGAGTGAGGGGTGGTCCCAAGGTCTGCTGAAGAAGCCTCTGATGTGTCTCAGGGGTGGTCAAAAGACCAGGGAGACCTGGCCTCTAGACCCGGGGCTGGCCGCCACAGGGCATTGACAGGGGTGAGGGGGTTGGGGCGCCATGTGTGGAGACAGCACTTCTGATACATGAGGCCACATTTGCCAAAGGACGCCTGTCAGGTGCCTCAAATGCCCCCATGAGTCACTGTCCTCTACAGTTCTGGCTCTGATCCTTATTCCAGTATAAACCCCACCCCAGTGCTCCTCTGAAGTCATTCCCAGACGCTGACCCTTCAGTAGGAATGAATGGCAGACCCGAGGGCAGGTTTGGAAGGAAGCGAGTGAGAGCCTGAGGGGAAGACCAGAGAAGATAGCCTGACTCTTCTTAGGGGGCAGGGCAGGAGCAGGGGCACAATGGGTGTGGGGTCTCCCACAGGCTGCCCATGTCTCCCACCCCCCATCTTCTACTACCTTTCCAGCCAGGTAGAGCATGTGGGTATCAGCATCGTAGAAGGGGAACAGGAGGCCTGACAGCCCATCAATTTCCTCCTCGATCAGGGGCATGGACAGGTCCTCCTGGGGGGAGGGGGTGGGTAAAGACTGGTATCAGCTTATGTCCAGGCAGGATGGCACCTTACCTTCCCGACCCCAGCAAAGCCCCCAGAGTGACCACCCTTCCGTGTCACCACGTGGCTGACCTGGTCCCAGAGGGCGATTTGTCTTGTGTTCCACCTGGAGACCCCTGTCGTGAGAAGCCGTTTCATGTTTCCCAGGAACACCACCCGGTTCACTCTGTGGTTTTTACAGTTTGCCTCCTGGCGGGGACAGAGAGAGCTGGTAAGTCAGGGCCCCAGATGCTAGAGAACTGCAGTGGGCTGAATGGGGCTCCCAAAAGATAGGTCCAGGCCTTCAACCCTGGAGCCTGTGAGGGGTCCTTAACTGCCTTGCATTAGACAAGTGGGTCCCAAAGGTCATCACGAGCATCCTTGTGAGAGGTAAGAAAAAGGGAGGCGCTGCCGACACACAGAGGAGGTGATGTGACTCCAGAAGCAGAGACTGGAGTGAATGCAGCTGCAGGCTGTAGGAGGCGAGGAAGGGCTCTTTCCAGGAGCCTCCAGAGGGAGTGCAGCCTTGACTTTGGACTTCTGGTCTCCGGAACTGCAAGGGAAGCATTGCTGCATTGCTGTAAGCCACTGATGGGGGAAATTCCTTATGGCGCGAGATGAGACTTATTCAGGTGCCATGGAGCAAAGGGGCCCTGGGGCCAGGAATCCAGTCCTCTCTGCCGCAGGGGTGGGGTGGGGGGGATGGGAAGGGAGAGCAGGTGCTCCCAGCGAGGTCTCTCCTCCAAGCCTCACGACAGTACCTGCTGGAGGGGACATCTGAGGATGAGGGTGAGGCTCAGGAGCACAGGGGCCTCCCTGGGTCACTGCTCCACGACGTGCTTCACCTGGGGCTTCTTCTAACAGGGCCATCCTCCGCCTCCTTTCCCCCCTGCCTCTCAGTTCATGACCCTTCCTCCTCCTCCTAACACATAACAGTCCTTTGCTGGGATGAGTCAGCATCAGGTCAGAAACCAGAGGCTGGTGGAGGAGCAGGCTGGCATCACTTCCGGTGCTGCCCAAGGAGGGTAGCACCCAGGAGGGCCACCTCCGTGACCTGTGTCGTGTCTGTGAGGTGGAGCTTGGATTCTCTGTTCCTCTGCTCAGCGCAGGCTCTGGGGGCCACTGGCTGGGCTTGCATTCTAGCCCCAGCTGTAACTGAGCTCCCATCTCGAACCCTCTCCAAGCCTCGGTTCCCCCGTGGGAAGCGGGAAGAGTAGCTGTGCCCACCTTAGCAGGCTGGCAGGAGGATTCAGGGACACAGCGAGCTCGGAGTCAATGCTGCTGGGTACTAATGATGCTAATAACTCTGAGTGTTATTACCTATAATGGTAAATAGTTGATGACTTTCTGCTCCTGCAATTTCTGACTCTTCCAAGATAAAAAGCACCAGGTCAAGCATCAATCCTTTCTCGTGTAGGAGATAAACCTCACATTTGGTTCAAATTTTCCACCCCACCTAGCCCCGTGACTACACGGCAGGTGCTCAGAAAGCGTTTGTTTCTTACTCCCAAATGGCATCTAATCCCTTCCCCACAGTCAAGACCCAGGAGACCCAGTGACGAAGCTGGAGCCAAATTCACCAGCAGTCTCCCCACTTGGAGCTGTCCCTGGGGCCCGTGCCCTGAGCCATCTCCCTCAGGCTTGTCTCACACAGGTGGCTGGGCAGCGAGTCCAAAGCCCCCTCCTCCTGGGCCCATGATGGGGTTTGGGCAACACCCTGGGATTTGTGTGCTGAAGGGTGTCACCTGTGCTGCCCCTGAAGGAAGCCAGAAGAATCCCATCTAGGAAGAGGGGTACGTTGGGGATGAGAAAGGGTACCGAGGTCCCTCCCCACCCAGACCAAGGCAGGGTCCCTGTGAGTTGAGAAGAACCCAGAACACAGGGGCTGGTCCATGGAGGTTCAGGCCAGGTACACGGGAGAAGGGGAGCCAGCACAGCTGTTTCCTCTGCGCCTGACCGAAAGCCACGGCCCAGATCCTGACACCTTCCCTTCCCCTCAAAGACTGTGGGGCTTCACCTGCAGGACACGGCCGGAGCGGGGCTCGATCACACGAAGCTTCTTGTCCTTGCACGTGGTGGTGAGCAGACTGCCGTCTGTGTTGAAGGACATGCAGAGGATCACGTCCGAGTGGCAGTCTATCATCTTCACGGGCTCACCCACGTCCAGGTTCCAGATGAGGACCTGCAAGCGTGGGCATGCCAGAGGCGTCTGTCCCCGGTCTGCCCCCGGGGGTCCTGGGAGAGACGCCCCATGTAGGGTCGGGGTGTGCTGGGAGGCAGGACAGGGGCATGAAACTCTGTATCGAAGGCTGAGGCTCCTCGTCCGGCAAATCCTCTACCGTCCCTTTGCAGAGCCCAGCCCCAGCCTGGGGAGCAGCTTGGTTTCTGCTACTAGCGAGAAGGATTAATGTCCCTGGCCGGGGTCCCGTGGTTGGCACACCTCTTTTGAGGGCACGCCATTCTCCTCCCTCCAGCAACTTTGGTTGCTCCTTTTTCCTACCAAGAGGGCCATAGCCACTTCTAGATTTAAGAAGTGGCTCTGGAGAGGGTCTGGGCATGGAGTGGGCATTCTCTTCTAATCTCTTAGGGCCCAAAGGAGCCAGAGAGGTGGCCGCTGTGGACTCCAGGAATGACAGGGGGCCAGGAAGATGCCCAGCCCTATGGAATGAATGAATGGATGAGCGGACAGATAGGACGATGTTGGTCTACACGTTCAGGAGAGTAACATCCTTACAGGTGGCTCCTAAAGAGATCCCCGCAAGCACCCTCCTCCCCTCAACCCTGCACTGAGCTGCTCTGGCCACAGTGGCTGCCGGATTGCTCACCTTGTAGTCATAGCCAGCACTGAACAGGATGTTGTTGGTGGTGGGGTGCCACTCCACCAGCCCCACGCGCCGGCTGTGCCCATGAAGCTCCAGGAGAGCCTCAGTCATGTTCCGCTTCAAACCCCCCTCGGGGATCTCCCAGATCCGCACCTGCAGAGGGGGACGGGGAGCCGAGGCTGGGTGGGCAAAGGCCAGGGGAAGCCCCTGCTGGCCCTCTCCCTCAGATCCCAGGCTCCCCCAGATCTGCGTCATGGGGCACTCCCTGGTCGGTCCGGTGGGCAGAGCCTGACTGAGGCCCGGGGGAAGCTCCAACATGCCCGGCACACACTAAGCAGCTGTTGGTGAGCGTTGTATTAAGTCTGCTTCCCTTCCCATGCCCTTCTAAGAGCTCTGATCTCAGCCTCAGCAGCTCTGTTGGTTTCACACGGCCCTGTCGCTCACTCTGCTCCTCACCAAGGTGGACTCGAGAGCCCAGGAAAACCCATCTGGGAGGCTGGGAGGCCCAGAGTCTCTCCCGAGAGGTGAGGCTCCAAGGGCTAGAGACCATCTGATGTTTGGAGCCTGTACTAGGAGGATGGGCAGAGCCTGGACACAGCCTCGATCTGCAGTCTTGTGGAAGCTGGTAAAGAAGCAGAGAGAGGGGCACCTGGGGGCTCAATCAGTTAAGCATCTGCCTTCCGGCTCAGGGCCTGATCTCCGGGTCCTGGGATGGAACTCCAAGTTGGGTTCCATGCTCAGTGGGGAGTCTGCTTCTCCCACAGCCCCTCCCTCTGCCTCTCCCCTTTGCTCATGCTCTCCCAAATGAATAAATAAAATCTTTAAAAAGAGGCGGGCAGCAGAAAGAGATGATGAGTTGAGAGGAAGATGAGACACACGGAGGATCAGAGAGCAGAGACCATGTGGCCCCAGAGAGAGAGTGCGCAGCCTCTCTGCCATCCTTGAGCACCTCCCGGATCACTGACATCAGCTCCGTAGGTTTCCACCTCCCAGGGGCCAAACATACTCTGCCTAGTTGTAACTGTTTCATCCACAGATGGGAGAAGAAGCCTTGCCTCCTGGTGGAATAAAATGAGATGCTGGGTGCCCAAGTTTGTAAGCTGTGAAGTGCTCGTGAGACCTAAGGAATTCTAATCCTTTCTATAATCGTTGTCATCACGAATGCTATTGATTGTGCCCTGACCAGAAAGGAAAGAGCGCGCGTCTCTACAGCGTAGGGCATCCTTGAAGCAAATCGTTTGAAAATCTGAACTCCACCCTTGCCAGTAAGGAGAAAAACTGGAAAAACAGCTTTGAGATACCATTTATAATTTTCTAAAGTAGCCAACTGGGAGGTGGGGTGGGGGAGAGCCAGTGCTGGCAAGATTGTACTGGAACTGGTGGATGAAATGGGCGTTGGTAGCATTATAAATCAGAGTCACTCTTTTGGAAGCAATCTGGCAATCTTTAGCAGGAACCATGAAGACATTTATGTCGTATTCCTTGATGTGGTAATTTCACTCTGAAAATCCGATAGAAGCAAAAATCTCTGTGCGTGAAGGTGTTCACCGCCCCGCGGAAAATTTAGAAATATTCAAGTGACCAACATTAGGAGAACAATTTAATACATCGTGTTATTATGCAATATTGGCTGTTCAGTGATAATTCTGAAGCCTATGAATAAACGTGGAACTCTAAGAGCAGTCCTCAGAACAGGGGGTATGGCTGGGAACTGGGGGTGCCCCCGAGGTGATTCCTGTGGTGGTTTCCCTTCTTGTTGTGTTCCCCGAAGACCCAGCTCTGCACATCGAGACACGGGAGGCGTCAGGTTGAGAAAGGCAAGTTCAATCAAAGTTTGGGGTTGCCCTTCAGTGAACCCTTCTCGATTTAAAAAACATGGCCACGGGGCGCCTGGGTGGCTCAGTGGGTTAAGCCTCTGCCTTCGGTTCAGGTCATGATCTCAGGGTCCTGGGATCGAGCCCCGAATCACATCGGGCTTTCTGCTCAGCAGGGAGCCTGCTTCCCTCTCTCTCTGCCTGCCTCTCTGCCTACTTGTGGTCTCTGTCTGTCAAATAAATAAAATCTTAAAAAAAAAACCCAAACATGGTCAAGAAAAAGTTTATAATTACGGGGCAGTTTAAAACATGTTTCCGACAGTGCAGTCCCCTGTGGTTGCTGCAGTTCTCCACAGAGAACTGGTGGCTGGGGGAGGGTTGGGGGAGTGAGGTGACACAGAGGGGGCCCAGCAGGACCCATGGTTTTCCCTCAGCAGACCCTGTACAATGGCATTCCGAGATGAGGTCTGATCTGGAAGTGGAGGAGAGGGTGGGGCAGGGACCCGTGTAGATGACTGTGGTCACCAACAGTCCTCTTGCTCCCCATGCAGTAGAGGAAAATAACCCTTGAAGAGAGGAGACCAGTGCTCTGGGGGGACATGCGCACGAGGACACACGCCTGCGTGCACACCCTCCCCTGCCCCCACTTCTTTCTCTTCTACCCAAAGGGAAGCTGTTAGTTTACATGTATTCTTCTGGAACTTGCTTTTCTCCTGTAATAGGTAGCAAGCATCTTTCCACCCTGGTACCCCTGGATTAACGTTCTCTTAGTGAGCGGCCGGAGGGACTCTGACTCTGTTGCCTGACTCTGCCATGATGGCTTAACCACTGTCCATTTACAGACTCCCAGGCTCTGCCCACCTTTGTCCCTCTTACAAGTCACTCTATGCAGAACAGCCCTGTAATACGAGTTTGGGTGTCAATACTCCTGTAGGGCGTGTGCCTCCAAGTGGCTTCATTTTTTACCAGTTACTGTGAGACTGTCCCCAAAGCTGTTCCAGTTTTCGCCAACAGAGTCTGAGAGTGCCTCTTTACCCACGGCTCCAACTATGCCTTCAGAAATAGACTTCTGCCCACCCAGCAGGTCGAGAGTGCCATCTCACTACCCGGGTTTGCATTTCTTTGCTTCCCAGAACTACTCGGCTTCATTTTCTGTGTTCCTGGTTGGCACTCGAGGAGGGAGCTCTAGAAGTCTTTGGAGTCTAGAGGATGAGACTTTGCGGGTCAGAGTGACAGGCCGGTGTGGAAGCGTTTGGGGTTGAGGACACCTTCTACTGTAGCTTGGGGACAGCTGACAAGTGTGTACCCATGAACATCGAGGCAGTTGGTGCCGAAATGTTGACTGAGGCAGGAGAGCGGCCTCCGGACTTTGAGAAAGATCTCCGAAACAGAGAGGAAAGCCTGATTCGTTCCGCACTCCCTTCTGTGAGCCAGACTCCTGCTAGCCACGGGGGTCTCGCTGAGCCGGCCCCGTGCCTGCTCTTGAGCAGGGAACCCATGGACACAGAGCTGGAGGGGTTTTGAATCCAGTCTTCCGGGGGTGGGGGGAGGTCAAGGGTGGGAGGGTCCGGGAAAAGCAAGGCTGGAAGATAGCATGTTGGCTTAAGTTTGAAAAGAGAGCTGGGGATTGGGGGGGAAGGAGGAAGGAGACGGAGAAACGAGCAGCGCGCATGGGTTTGGGCACGGTGGGTGGGGAAAGCGCAGGTGGGTCAGCCTGACGGGTGTGGAGCAGGCTGGCAGGTAGCAGAGGAGGCGGGAAGCCATTGTGTGTCCCACCTGGTCACCCAGGCCTGAGGAAGTTCTGCTTGGGCGAGTCTCAGGAACCCCCCACCAACAGCCTAATTCCTGAGTGTCCAGCTAACTGAGGCACATCATCCCTGGGTAATGTTCCCATGCCAGGAGAAGGCAGAGGCACAAGGGAAACTGTGAAGTGAGGGTCTACTCAGGCTCTAAGCCCCCTCACTGGCTGGATGACCCGGGAACACCAGGTGACCTCTCTGAGGCTCAGGCTCCTTGTCCAGATAACGAACAGAGATATTCCCACCATCTAGAGGTGTGTGGGTTAAACTAAACTGGGTTTCGTGTCCTTGTGAGTCGGAGGCTTTCTAGCCAGATAAGCTGACTTGTTAGGAAGACAGCTCTGCCCAGGAACCCAAGGGCTGAGCCAAGGGGCTGGGGAGGGCGGGCTGCATCTGTGCCCTGGTTCAGGCTCTGAACTGGATCCAAGTCTCAGGGAGCAGAGGCCCACAGCGGGAAGCCCAAAGAACCGTTTTCACCAAGAACTGTTAGATGTATGATCTACTGCTACAGCAAATAGTTGGCCATAGGCACTCCAAGGAGGAGCTGGAGTTCCCAGTGAGCCTAAGTAGCTGGAAAAGGAATTCCAGTCCCTCCGTATTCAAGGGATTTGTTTGAAGCAAAGAGAGGATGGGTGTGGGAGGACCCTGTGGATCTGCTCAGAGTCTGCTTCAACAGGAAACTTGATAGGGCCAGACAAACCGGATTTCTGGAAGGAAGGGGTGGAGAACTGTGGCAAAATGCTCCCTCTAGCAAGCCCGCAGGGCCCCTTCTCAGGTCCCTGGGTCAAAGTCAATCCAACAAAATATGCTCCGCATCTGCCAGGGTCCCACATACTAGATGCAAAGCAGCTCACAGTTTCGTGGAGGGGGAGACAGCAGACTGGGCAGACCAGGCTAAGTCAAGATGGCCGATAAGAATGGTTAATAAAACTACAAAACCAGGGATGCCTGGGTGGCTCAGTCAGCTAGGCGGCTGCTTTCGGCTCAGGTCATGATCCCAGCATCCTGGGATCGAGTCCCGCATCGGGCTCCTTACTTGGCGGGGAGCCTGCTTCTCCCCCTGCCTCTGCTGCCACTCTGCCTGCCTGTGTGCCCTCGCTCCTCGCTCTCTCTCTGACAAATAAATAAATAAATAAATAAATCTTAAAAAAACAAAAACAAAAACCCAAAATTACAAAATCAAATGTCTCTGCCTTTGGGGAGGGGTCAACAATGTGCGAGCTTTGCAGTCTGACAAGCTCTGTTCAAATCCAGGCCCTGACAGGCAGCCCAAGGCCTTCCTTCTCCTCTGGATTGAACCTGACACCGTGGAGAGGCCCTGTTATTTCTGCTTATCTATCCCTCCAAAGAGAGCAGCTTCCCAGCGCGGGGTGTCTAGACATCACCCTTCTGGGGGCACCGACAACCTGCCAAGCCATCACACTGGACGGCTGACTCCTCCATACAGGGGTGGGACCTTCTAAGTCCCACCTTGGCCTTCTGTGCAAGGAACAGGGCCTGGCAAATCCCTTTGGAACTGAAGCCAATGGAAGAATCCTAGAAGCCCAGAAACCTTGCCATCACCTCAGCAGCCGGCTGGGCAGTGAGTCAGCCCCCGGACTTGGAGGGAGCCCGCCAGTCCTGACTCTGGCTGGTGGTGAGCTGGGTAGATGGGGATCCACCCCTGTACTCCTGTTTTAGAAGGGGTGGGGGATTTCTCTCTTGGATTTTCAGGTTCACCATTCAGCTTAGTCCTTCTTTTGGAAACCAGTGACAAAAGGCCTATGCGGGGCTCAAAGAGCAAAGAACGAGAAGCCCTGGAAGGAGCCCCGGGTGTCTGACTCCAGCTCGCTGACTCCCCAGGGGCCCTAGAGTTCTCAGTAGACAAGAAACTTGAACCATTGTGTATTCGTTAGGCTTTGATGCTAAGTCCAATACGAGCCCCATTTGACGGGAGGGCAACCTGTACCCAGAGAGGTAGAGAAACCGGTTCAAGGTCACAGGCCTGGTAAGTGGCAAAACCTACAGACCCATGGACTCCTGAGCCCAGCAGCTGCTTAAGGACAGAGGCACACTGCCACTTGCTCTGCAGTCCCAGGTCTGTGGGTGAGGCCTTGTCAGGCCGTCAACCTCTCTTGGGCCACTGTCCTTCCATCTCTGAAAGGGGCATGGTGCTCCCTTCCAGTTCCAAGCAGTATCGGTTCTCTAAGTGTGTGTGTGTGTGTGTGTGTGTGTGTGTGTGTGTGTGTGTGTGTGTGTGTATGTGTAGAAGAGAAGGGCAGGGTGGTGGGTGGTTTCTGGCTGCTTCCTGCGGGGCTGACATCCTGCCCCATCCCACTCCCAGCTCCTTGGGGAGGGGCATGCTCTCTTGGAGGATGGGAGGGCAGCCTTTGGTTAAAGAGTGGAGGAAAAGCTGCTGAGCTCAGTCCACCAGGGAGCGGGGCCTGCCTCCCTCTGCCCTCTGGGACCACTCGTTCCCTCTCCTTAGATGTCAGAAACTTCTCCCTTTCTCTGCAGCTGCTGGCCCTCTGGGAAGGCTAGGAACACGCGGCTAGAAGCCCGTAGAGCCTTCCCTGCCGCCTGCCATCCACCCTCCCTAGCTGCCGCAGAAGCTATAAAAAGCACAGCCTTTCAACAATAGGTGACATCACCCAGTGGCGGAAAGAACTGGATTCTGCCAGATGCCAGGGAGAGTTATGGCCCCTACCTCTCCCGCAGGACAGGAGCCCACTGGGAAAGGGCCCGGGTATGTGCCCCTGGAGCCCTGGGGGGATGGGGTCAGACTCCTGAGGTCCTCCTCATGCTCTGAGGAGGGGAGGGCATGGAGCATGGATCTCCCTGGAGGTTTTTCAGGGGTGGGGGGTATGGGAAAGGAGCTAGGGAGCAGGGAGGGCTTGCTGGCTCCGTTCAGTGTCCAGGCAGAGGGCAGTGGAGGGGTGGGGGGGTGGGCAGAGACATGGAGACCTGGGCCAGGCCCACTTCAACAGCGACTCCCCAGCCCCCATGAGGAGCACAGTGCCTGGCACTTTGTTTTGCTGACTGATCTCAGCCTGGTTCTGGATATCATGTCTGCTGTGCAGTAAGTTGACCATTTGGGCCAGCACGGGTTGAGGGAGGCCGTCTCAGGGGCGTGCCCCTCGAGGTGCTCTGATGGCAGCAGGGATGTCAGTCCCAACAGCGCTGGTGGTGTGCACAGGCCTCCTCACCTGAGCTGGGGAGCTGCAGGCTCCTTCCCCTTCCGTGCCACCCCTCCCAAGCCCTGCGGAGGACGTCTGCCCCCGCTGTGTGCCCTTGGTGGGTGTGCGGGCTGGGCCGTGCTCGGAGAAGCCTTAGAGACATCGATACTGGGTGGTGGATGGACCCGAGCTGCCAGCCCTGCGCAACTGCGCCTCAGTTCCCTCACCTGGAAACCCAGGACTGTTGGCGAGGAGCTGAGTACTGGCCCTGCCTGTGCCCTGCCTCCCCGTGGGACAGCAAGCCTCAAGGACCTTCTCCAGGAGGGGCTACTCCAGCCTGGGGGCCTGTTAGCTCCACTGGCCCCAAGGCTGGGTGAGATTTGATAGGGCTAAGCAGGGCTCCGAGCTGCTGCTTAAGGACCAGCTGGACCGGCGGCCAGAGCCACAGCTTGGTTCCTTTCTGGACCAAAGACTTAATCCCCTTCTCTCTGGCTCCGTGGCCCCCAGCCAGCCCTCCCTGCTGTGCCCCCAGGCCTAGGGTCCTTTCCCTTCATCTCCCACCCCTGCCAGCCACGTTCCTCCCCAGGTAACCCCTCCTCTTGGCCAAGCCACATCCCAGAGCTGGTTTGGCTCGGGGCGCGGGGTGGTGGGGCCCTCCTCCACAAAGGCAGCCATGACCCCCACCCTGGCCCATTAGCTCCCCTTCCCTGATTCCCTACATATGTCAAGACCCTGCCCCCTAAGCTGAGAGTATTGGGAGGGGGGATGTCTGGGAGGTGACAAGGTCATGAGGTGGAACCCTCAGGAACGGGATTAGTGCCCTTATCAGAGAGTCTCCAGAGAGACCCCACACCCCACTGCTGCCACGTGGACATAAGACAAAAACAAGGCCCTCCCCGACCACGCTGGCTCCTGATCTCGGACTTTTGCCTCCAGAACTGGGAATAGTGAACACCTGCTGTTTACAAGCCCCCCAGCCTGGTGTTTTGTTACAGAGGCTTGGGGGCTGAAACCCTCCCCCAAGGCCTGTGCCCTCTCCCCTGGCCTCCTTCCACCCATTCTCTGCCAGCAGCCCTGCTTCCCCAGGGCCCAGCTTTCTCGAATTCCCTCCCCCCAACACGAATCCCACTTCCCCGAGCGGCTATAGCCCTCATCTGACGTCCACGGCTGCAGTGACTTCAGTCTGTGTGGACCTTCAGCACGTGGCATGTGATCCTACCCTTCTACCGGTGATGTTTCTGGAGAAGGACAGAGGCCAGCAGGCGCACTGTTAGGCACAGACCCCTTTTCCTCCTCACGGCAACTGCCAATGGCACATCTCACCACTGCTGTGACACGGAGGTGCAAAACTGAGGCCCAGAGAGGGGTCACCTTGGTCACCCAGCTGGCAAGTGGGTAAGCTGAGATTTCATCCCAGTCGGTGAGATCCCACGGCTGAGATCCGTTTGAAGAAGGCCACCCCCGGGAGCGCGGAGGGCACACTACCGCCCTCCCGTCAGTGTGTGCGGACCTGAAGACAGCTGCTCAGCTAGCATGGTGGGTGCCGGGGCCTAGCACTTTTCCTGAACCCACAGCGTGGACACCTGGTTTATTAGCCGGGTCCCTGGAGAAACAGGCACCTGACTCATTCCCGGGTGAAATAAGGTGCTGAGTGAGAACCGGGCAGGGCCGTCTTGGTGAGTGACCCTCCCAGCCTTGCCCTCTGTCAGGCAGAGATCTGGACCAGACCTGGAGCCTGGGCGGCCAGTGACTCCGAGAGGCCTGGCTTATCTGTCCCTCCCTTCATCGAGCTACCCACTGCTCATCTCCTTCCCAGCTGGCTGCCCTGGTGAGAGGGCCAGGGGCTTCTAGCCTGGACCGTGGGGTTTGGTGTCCTGACGAGGCTTGGTGGAGCAGGGAGAGCAGGGGCTGGGCGGCCGGCAGCTCTCCTGGACTTCCTAGCCTGGCCTTGCCTGACCCTCAGCGTGGGGGTGGCAGTGGCTGTGAGGACCAACGACACTCCAGCTCAGAGTGAGTGGAGGAGCTTGGTATGAGGGAGAGCATGTCTGCTTCCTCATGGCTGGTGACAGGGGCCCAGCACCTCGGCAGGCAGAGATGGAGCCGGCTGTGGTCACCACACATCTCCTTGAGCTCCCTGTACCCCAAAGAGTAGGACTGGCCGCTCCTCCACCTGCCATCTCTCCCGCTGGGCCCCTGTGCTCTCGGCCCCAACTGCTGCACCCTCCAAACCCTGAGCTCCAGTGGCATCCTGCCCAGCCCAGGAAGGGCAGGAAGGAAAACATGGACAGGGAGGAAGGTCTTCTCTTGAGATGAGCGCTGAATCACATCCCTAAACTTCGTGTTTTATTTCTTACCTACAAAACCAACACCTCCAAACTATATCTCACTAAAAGCACAAGATCTGTCAAATATTCATGGATTTGCTCTCTCGGTCCTTTTCCTAACTCCCTCACCATCCTGGGCCTGGCTGGAAAGATGAAAAAAAGACAGAAGAAGGGCAAAGGTAGGAGAAAGAGAGGAGTTTAGGAAGGGAGGCCTCCAGGAGAAAGTAGGGAGGAGCCCCCTGGGGGTCCACTCTCGTTGGGGATCACCCCTCCTGCTCACCGATGTGTCCTCTGAGCACGAGGCAATGATGTTGTCAATGAATGGGTTCCACTTGATGTCAAGCACGTTGCCTTGGTGACCACAGACCTTGGGGTAGTTGGGTTCAATCCTGCCCGTCTGCCAAGGAGAAAGAGAGGGAGAGAAGAGGATTAGTTTGATGGTCCTAGGGTGACCCTGAGAGGAGAGCCTTTATTGTGGGCTTCTAAACTGGACTGGAAGGTCCCTGAGGACCTCCCATTGTCTTATTCACCTTTACATCCTTGCCTCAGGCTGGTCCAAATTGTTCCGTGGCTGTGTCCTCCCCAACACCGAATGGTAATGGGGAAGGGGACACACAGCAGAGCGATAAGGCAGGTCTGCTGTTAGTCCACATGAGTTCTTTGTGCAAATCAGGAAAAGGTACCCCTTCCTCAAGTAAAAAAGTTTAAAGATACTCTTATTCGCCTGAACAACCAAAGCCTAGTGGGCAGCAGTCCTGGCAGCCTACATCTCCAGACATGGGGGCATATGTACTCTCCCCAGTGTCCATAGTGCCCCCTGCCCTCCAGGGGAGGATGTCCTTCCTGCTGCTCCAGGAGTCAGCAAAGAGGCCTGAGTCTCTGGGTCCACCTGAACACCGTCACATAAGTCACTCTGCCTACTATGTGAACAATGCCACTGCTAGATATGGAGCCTTGTTCAGTGTGCATCTTAAACAGCTGTACACAGTGCCGCATGGTTCAAAGCATGATCTATGGAGGCACACAGGCCTGTGTTTGAGTTACAGCTCAGCTACCTTTTAGCTGCATGGCCCTGAGAAAGTCAGTGAAGTTCTGTGAGCTTCCGTTTCCTCATTTTTTGAAATGAGGAGAGTAACACCAGCCTCTTAGTCTTTGGTGAAGACTGAATGAGCTAACGCTTAGCAAAGTGCTTTGTGTGGAGATTATCATTACTGTAAATGCTTAGTATGTGTTAGTAGTAGTATTATCATACAGATTAGATAATAACGCCTCCTCCAGGAAGTCTTCCCTGATTCCTCAAGAGGGAAGAGCTCCTGCTCTGTGTGCTCAGAGCATTCTAGGCCTCCTTCTATTACAGACACCATCAGGTGCAATTGCAGCCTGTTTCCATTTGTCTGCGAGGAACTGAGGACAGAATCCGTCTCTTGTCTGATTATCCAGCTCCTCACAAGCCTGGCACATGCTATGTGCTAGGTGCAGGACCTGAAGGCGATCTTCAAAGGGATGGATTCCACAAAAGATGAAACAAAGAATGTGGGGGAGCGGGAAAGGAAGGGAGGTCTATGTTTAACAAAGGGAAGGAGAATTATAGGCAGAAGCTGTGTTTCCACCCCCAGGACTTTTTAATACTAGGTTTTGGGAGCATCTGAGGAAATAGGGAGGATTTTCCCAGTCACAGCCCATCGGCTGATGGTGGTTAGGTCATTGGAGGTCCCTCAGGCAGGCCATACCTCACCCCCCTTTTTGGCCCCTCAACAGACTAATGAAGAAGAGAATCAATTTTTGTAAAGCCTCTGCTTCATGTGCCTTACACTTCACCAGCACGATGTGGCAAGAGTGATTTCAGAGTGTGTCCTGCTGTAACCTCTCCCCACCCAAGTCCTGCCCGCATCTCTAGCCACTCATTTCCAGATCCTCTGACTTTTTGTGACACAGCAATGGCGAGATGGGTGGAGAAGAAACAGACCCAAGAGCAAATGGCAACAGCACAGAGGATGACAGATGAAGCGGAGAAAAACGGGAGGGAGCATCGGAGGTGTACAAAGGGGAGTTTCGTGGACGCCATGCATTGTGGGAAAATTATACAATAGAGGTGAAGGTCAGCTGGGGAGTACCACCAGCAGTTAGGAATGGGGTCCCCTTTGCCATTCTATGGGGGAAGCAGTTAGAATGGAGATACCTTTTCAGTTACCTTTGGGCTGTTGGACTCTTTCTTTAAATGAGACTCTGAGCAGAGACTGAGCCACATGTGCCCATGGCATTTGTCAGGGTTACACATGACCTTCTTCAACTCTTGTACATCCCGTGACTTAGGTCTGAAGAACTTAAGGCCCAGGAAGCTTCAGCCACTTGCCCAAGGTTACCCAGCTGAAAGCAAATCAGGGGTTCCTGCCAAGGTGTGACCCTCAAAGCTGAGATCTTTGAATCCCACTGGTCCTTTGGGCCAACTCCTCTCCTCCAGCTCGGACTCCCAAGGGTAGATAGGCCCTGCCTTGTCTGCTCCCACAGCTTATACACTCTCTGACGGTACCATCCCTTCCATTTGATCCCAAAGGCTGCAAATGCGTGATCCCTGAGCAAAGCTGTGTGCATGATACTTTTGGCTCCCAGCCCAGCCCAGGCATATCTGAGGGGCACTGAATCAGCCAATAGGTGGCCATCAGCTAACAGCAGCTTCTGGCCCGCAGCCTGTGTGGGTTATGCACTGGAAGGACAGGTTAAGCAACATCCCTGGAACCTATTCAGAATGGAGTGAGGTCAGAGCCCTGCACTGGGGAGGGAAAAGTCTTTTTAAAGCCGAGAGTGATTCTGATGTAATGTATATTCCCAGGTGGACCTTGCCTTACACAATGGAAGCATTCCCCAATAGGGTGGGGAGTTATGATTGTTGTGATTGAATCACATTGTTGCTTACGTGAACGGTAACCCCTACCATTGTACAGTGCACAACCTACTTAGCTGTACATGGCAGCCCTCAGGGGAAGAACCCCCTTTCGATGTGGCAGCTCTGATTTTCCTGTTTTATACTGTAAGGTTCCACATACCATTTTGTTTGAAAGACAAGTTCCCCTACTAAGAAAAAATGTCTGAAAATCACTGTTCTATGGAGAAATCAAGTAAATAAAAAAACACAATTATTAACCCCAGGAGAAAGGTTTTACAAGAAAGCAAATATAAATCACAGTGATAATGATTTATGTACAATATTTACATAGCTATAATAATGTAAATCTTGATTATTTATTGAAATAAGAGTTATACTGTAGGGGCACCTGGGTGGCTCAGTGGGTTAAAGCCTCTGCCTTCGGCTCAGGTCATGATCCCAGGGTCCTGGGATCAAGCCCCGCATTGGGCTCTCTGCTCTGCAGGGAGCCTGCTTCCTCCTCTCTCTCTGCCTGCCTCTCTGCCTACTTGTGATCTCTGTCACATTAATAAATGAAATATTTTTTTAAAAAAGAGTTATACTATAGCATACTGGGAGCACAGAGGTAGGGAAAGTGTGTGTGTGTGTGTGTGTGTGTGTGTGTGTGTGTGTAGTAAGAGGGGAGACTGAGCTGGAAGAGAGCCAGATGCTCATTTTCCATAATAGGTAGTCAACATACAATGTCTAAGATTTAAAAATCTAGACATGGTGGTGAAAGCATGTAATTAAGAAATATGGGGATAAGTGCAAAAGGAAACAGCTAAAAGCCAGGAACAGAGCTCCCTTTGGGGGAATGTATTGAAGTTGGGGGGCAGGTACTGAAGTTACAGGCAGTGGTGTGCTGGTAACTGTTTACCTGCTTTTCCAGGAAAAAAAAAAAATAAAGGCCCTATTTGGAGCATTTGCCAATTTCCGTGGTGTAAATATTCCCACCAGGCTAACTTTGATCTACCAAGGTGATGTCAGCGACAGTAGAGTCAGAAGAGACTCGCAACAGTCCATGGTCATGTGAACTTTCTACCATGGATATAATAGACAGCCGTCACCTGGAGAGCACAGAGAGTAATTAAATAGTTAGGGAGTAACGAATTGTTAACACTCAGTACCTTTGTTTTTGATGTCATTTATTTAACCACAAGTTTGCATAACTGAATTTTTAATAATGGCCATGTGTACCAATCAGCTTGCAGAGCTCCTAAAAGTGCAGTGAGCGGACTACAGCTCTTCACTTGAACTACAGGCCATTAGCGGCACTAGACCGTTATGAACTCTAGACCATTATTGCTTTGAGAGGCATAAAAATGAAAGAACAAAGAAATAAAATGCAGGTACCAGATGTTCTAAAGGAAGCTTGTTCTGTATTTTTTTTTTTTTAATGTGAACAATCCTCCCCCCAGACCTGCAAATGTCTCTGTTTTCTGTTCTAAGTTGTCTATGGGGGTGTGACTTGAGTCCAAATCCAGATCTGGTTCATAACTGCTACCCAACACCACCTTCTCTCACTCACTCTCCTCCTGATACACACACCAACACTAACAGCGATCATTAATGTAATCTGATTTAACTCTCATAACAGCTTCATCTTACAGCCGAGGGAGCAGGACAACTGCTGAGTTGTCCCTTGGCAGAAGGTGTCCAAGGAGAAGAGTCGGGGTTTTTCAGTGTTTCATAATTGTTAGGATCACTGTGGAGATGGTCAGTTCCCAGTGTCCCAGTGGTAGGGTGTCAGGAGTCCTGGGGTCTAACCTACCAACTGGTCCTTGAACCTCAAAGACAGCTTCAACCTCAGCAGAGCTGAGGCAGAGATCCTGCTGCCTGGGGTGGGGTGGGGAAGCCCGTTCCTTGGTGTCTAGAATCCTAGAATCCCGATGGAAATCTTTGTGCTTTTGCTGTGGGCCTTATCCTGGAGGCCTCAAAGGACAAATCCGGCCCCCCTTCAGTGAGACAGACCTTCAACTTCAAATGCTGGTCTGCAGCTGTTACATACCTTGAGCCTTCTCAAGGAGGAGCCCGAGGCTTAGGGTGGGGGGGGTCTGGTCATATCTCAAGTACATCTCATCTCCCAGAAGGCAGAGTTTGTAGAAGTCGGGACACAGCTTCCCTACCTTCTTGCAGGTGCATTTGATCCTAGTGTCTCAAGGACTTTCAAAGGTTCATAGCCTTTGGCTAATAATTCCACTTTGGGAACTTATCCCAGGGGAATCAACAGAGAAACACAGGAAGACATTCACTGCTGTGTCATTTACAATAGAGAACAGTATAATAAATGTCCAACAAGGGGGCACCACCCAAAATGAATTATAGTACACCGATATTACAGAATATTATGAGGTCACTGAAAATTGTATTTTCAAAGAATATTTAATGACTTGAGAATTGCTCAAGAGCTTATGTTTAGTGAAACAGTCAGAAGCAAGCTATGTACATTAAATGATTGCTATCTATTAAAAAAACACATAGTTTGTGAGAAAATA